CTCTTCTCTGTCAATAGCGGCCAAGCGTTTCTGTCTGCCGACGCAAGGATAAACATTCCACGGAGTAAAGTAAGAGTGGGGAGCCCGACAGCGTCTCGATGCGAATTCAAAAATGTCCTCGCTTTCGAACTCGATGTCCCGGAATTTGAACGAGCTCGTCTGGCAACCCCAACTCACTGGTACACAGAATGGGGCTTTCCATGACACGAACCAATCCGTTCAAACTCGTGAAACAAACGCTGATATTCAGAAGGTCTATAGAGTTCCTTAACTCGTTCGTTTTTATGTGAATTTCAAAGAGTGTCGACGGATCTGTCACAGAGAGCAAATGAGAAACAACGAAGAGATGGGACGATAAGTCACGAATTTATTTATAGTGTTTTTCACTTGAGTCTGACACTTTTTCCCTTGACTTCGACAAGTCTGTAGAAACACTAGAAACAAGAGCGAAATGAAACTTTTGGCTTTCGTATGAATATTAATGTATGTTCCACGAGTATATCTTGAATGGAAAAATATCCTGCCATAATTCTTGGACCTGTTCAGCACGACAAAAGGCGGAAAACCTCAAGCTTGCTCCCGTTTCAATCAGAGCACCTTCCCTCACGTGGGGGGGGGGGGGGGGGGGGGGGGGAACACCTTTTGGTAACAGTCCTGGTCTTATCTATTTGCTTGCTCATAAAATTCTCAAAATGTATTCTCTTCTTTTGCTAGAGAAGAGGGGGAAAATCAACGTCATGCAAAGGGAGGTAATTATAATAAACCAATCGAACTCCCATTTGAAAATACTTGGATCCGGAGAGTTTTTCAGCGCATATAAATGTAACATTTCGGCTGTAGAACTTCTGTAGAATTTCTCGAATTGATAGCTAGCAGTAAGGCTGCCTTCTTTCGTACGCTCATGCTTGCTGAAAACTGGATTTTCCGTTCCAAATAATGCGCACTGAATTATGCGTAAAAATCGAAATGTCCAGAATTCGGGACACAAGATCCAAGAGGTGTTGGCACTCCGATGCATCACGAGCCTTACAGGTGGTTGGGGACGCGGGCTCCAGATGGCAGCAGCAGCAGCGGGCTTTAATGCCGTTCCCGGGCGCTGTTCGCTTCTTTTTCCTTTCTGGCGACAGTCTTTTGCAAAATAATTTTATTCGTCCCTTTCGCTGTCAGAATGAGGAGAATCGTTGGCGGGGAAGAGCAGTTGTGTGCCACGGCAAGGTTTGAAATTCTAAAATCGAGAGTCATATTCATTGCCTCTGCAACTCGATTCCCTTCACATCGTGCGTCGACGAATTTTCGACGTCGATGGAGGGATGTCCATCTTAGCTGTGGGGAAAAACGTTAATCCATTTCGATTTCATGGTTCCAATCGTTCTCACGAATTTCGGCAACATCTCGGCACTGACAATCCTTTCGGAGACGACTTTTGGATCTCACTCCATTGGGAACGGTCCCCCCTTTCCCACCCCTTCCCCCTCCTTTCCCACCCCCTTCCCCCTCCTTCCCCCCCCCCCCNCCCCCCCCCCCCCCCCCCCCCCCCCCCCCCCCCCTCCTCTTATGAGGCGAGCGATGACGATCGAGGAGCGACGCACTTTCTACGAAGCGCTTCTGCGCGCCGCTACCTTCGTTTACCGCTGGGAGTTCTCCACGAAATTCATCAATTATTTATTTTAAACTTATGCTGCTGCCGTTTCTCTCGAGAGTCCGTCGGGAGAGTCATGGGTGGTAAAAATGAAAACAGTGGAGCTGTCGTTGCTCGTTTCCTTTGAGAATATATCATCGGTCGCACTTACAAGTTAATTTCAGAGTAAACCAGATTTTCTTTCTCGTAACAGTTACTCGTTCATTTTTTCGGAGTCTGATGTACTCTGGTACAGAATTACTTCGGCATCGCATGAAATTTTTATGCATTACATTCTCAGCATAGGTTTCATTCTGGGTGGGGGGGGGGGAATGTTACTCCGGCGCAAATAAGTACGAAGCTGCATGAGAAAGGTACCTTCTGGCTCCCTCCCTGTCCCCCCCCCCCCCCCCCCCCCCCCCCCCTCCNGGAGAGCCTTCGGGCCCCCCCCCCCCCCCCCCCCCCCCCCCTTGCTTGAAAGATATTTGACAGGAGCACTCGGAAGAAAAGGCTGCGTCATGGAGAATACTTTCGAACGTAAGGTTTTTTTTTTCGACCAGGATGACGCCTCCTGAGCTTTGTGCTGGGCCGAGCATGGACTTGAAAAGGTCCTAGGGCAGGGGTGTCAAACATACGGCCCGCGGGTCGGATCCGGCCCGCAGAGGTGGTTCATCCGGCCCGCCGTCTGCTTTTGAAATTTTCCGCATTGACTGTCAGCACAAATTTCAGCGAAATTTTATGGGCGCGGCCAGCAGGCATCTGCAGGGCCCGCCGACCGATTTCAGTTTGACACCCCTGTCCTAGGGCATTCAGCGAAATTCACTAGCACCTTATCAGCGTGCTGCTCCGTCCAATCTGGAGGGTAGGGAAATGGCGTCACTTAGCGACCAGACAGAGCTGGAGAAGCGACTCCAAGGGCCTGCTGCGTATCACTGCACCACCTAGTGGTGAGATTCGCCTTCGATTCCGAAGCGTCACTGCGCTTGGGCCGAGTCCAGTGACCTTAAGCCTCATCGAGGGATCACGCCGCTACTAGTATTTCGATACCAGGGACATCTACGGGCTCACGATATGTATATAAGATCGGAAGAAACGTGAAATTCGCTGGCGTCGGTAGGTTCATAGGAAACAATGGTTAACATTAGGGTGGATAAACTCGTCCCAAAATCACTGCAGAAATAATTTTACTGAGAGGCTCTTTCTTGCAGATGACAGAGGAACGTCCTTCACTTTTCAAAATAACATATTTCTTATTTCTGAGGTTTTTCCTCGGGGGGCCGATCAACATGAAAACAACCTTAAAAATGCCCTTCCCCAGGTTAATGGAGGAATACATCGGAACTTAGCGAAACGCTTTTTACAATTTTTCAAGTCACGTCCCTGCATGACACTTGCATTAATTCCTGATGAAGTGGGCATTTAGATCTTGCTTCCCCCATTCTTCCCCAAATATCCTGTCTAGTGCCTATGAATCAGTGCTGAAGTTGTAAATTCCCATCAAGTTCTCTTAGGAGGCTGGAAGTCATGACATACCCTCCCAAATGACGAGTCTTGCAAATTGCTATCAATCTATGCATCTCTGGAGAAGTAGAGAAGACAGGACTGATTTGATTATGCTGTCAAGTCCAAAAAAATGATCCAGGGTAATAGTTCTCGACCTTTTTTGACTGGCGGTAGACCGGTTGAGAAAGGATATCGGGGGAAGGTTCGAGAAAAGTGTTCCAGTTTTTTTCTTTATTTCTTCCTTAATCGAAATTTCCTTGCGTGCCGCGGAGCAATCCGTTAGCAACACTTTCGCCACCAGTTTTTGGGGTGCTGATTCATTGTATGTGAACGGAGACCATTTTCTCCCTCCGTTGAATGCATACCCGCGTGAAATTTTCTTCCCGAAAGTAATTTACGCATTCGCTGCAGTCGAAAACATCCATTAAGATACTCGTATATGTCGTGCATTTGCGTGTACACTCTACTACAACCCCACTATGAATACGGCTATGGCCCCGAATAAACGCTGAAGACGTGCAATAAGGATCCGATAGTAGAGGAAACCCCTGGCCAAGAATGGATGGTTCTGCAGCCATGTCTTTTTAATGTGCTATCGACGTGCAGCTTGCCAACCTTGGCGATTTAAGAGCAATGCATTGAGAAGAGTCCTATCTTTGTCAGGGATTAAGCATGAACTGGAACAGGAACATCGATAAGAATAAGATAAGGCGACATAGTTGAGGAATATACACCGTTTAGGTCAATATACACCGTTTAACTTTAAACAGATTTCATTATGAGCTTTTAATGAGATTCATCCAGTAAAACTAACTCCCATACAAGCTTAATTTGAATCTGACCTAATGCATACCACACAAATCTCCTCACCAAGATCATCTTGTCAATCTGATTAGCTAACGCACAGAGCAACTACAGAAATCCATTAGTAAAAGAATGAAGCATAAAAGAAATCAGCTCTTTAAGTCATTCTAGCTAGCTAGATGTTAGCACATTGAATGTTGTGGGCTATAGGAAATTGGAAAAACAGTAAAAATTTATATTTAAATCATGCCCACTTGAAGAAGATGAATTGATAAAAAACATGATGCATTAACATGTCAAGCTAGCATATGGCCAGAAACAAGGCATGTGGTGTTTACACATCATTTAAGCAGTGAACAGGTTAACCTCAGATCTGAGGAAAATAAAAGTATATGGATTTGGCACGTATGCAGTTGCTTGGGCCTAAAGAGGTAAGCAAGATCCAAAATTATTATGAACATTCTCCATATTTTGATGTGAGAGGCTATTTCCATTGAGAAAACTATTACTTGCAGTTACATGACTGCCAATTCGCATGGAGCCTTATAGAAGACCTTCCATTACCAAAGGGGTTCCCTTGTTTTCTTTTGTTTTCATGATCAAATAACAAAAAAATTGAATTATTACTTCACAAAGTTTGTATACTTTCCTCCATGAGGGAGTGTTTTTAATGAAGTCCAATAAGGCCTGATGTGGAGACCTAACAAGACAATTGAAAGTGTTTCACTTAGCAATGTGGTCAGGAAACTCTTCTCAGCAAACAAATCCAAAGCATTTTGGGAATAACAGGGTGAATGCATCAAATGTCAACTTTTTCTTTTCCTAATTTCAAAGTGGTCTAAGTCAGAGAAATTCACATTGGATGAATTTTCACCCAGTATCCTACTTTTCACTCCTCAGTTGCTTGATTATTCCAATGAGTATGGATTAAAGACTGATTCTGAATTCAACTTTGACAAGAAAACTGAGTTAATTATCTGACAATCTGCATGTGTCTCAGATTTTCACCTAGTTGAAGAAGTGTTCTGGGAAGGTGTCACATCTAGCAACAATAATCATGGCAACATAATACTTCATAATTTTAATATATGAAATTATGAAATGTATAACAAAATATTGGGGACTCATTCATGTGAAATAACTGCACTGATAAAAATCAACAAATCTCTCCAACAATGGCTTATATAGAATGGGAATGAAGTTTGGAATCACTTCTAGCCTCAATGTGAAATGCAACAGATACTCTACCATAGTTTAGGAACAAGAATGGGAGTCTTTGCTTTGTACTTCTGATATTCAGGGTCCTTTCCCCACTTTTTGGCAGCATAGGTCTCAAGTGGTGGAAGTCCACTGAAGCCCACAATGATGAACATGTTCAGGACAGGGGACAGAATGCTCCAGTGTTCCAGATCCCTGAGGCTGGGGAAAGCTGCCATATAGAGCCCAAACCAAAGCAAAATTTCACCAAAGTAATTTGGATGGCGGGATACACTCCACAGCCCCGTTCTGATGAACTTTCCCTAAAGAAGAGGAACAAGAGGAAGTCGGATCTTGTGATTTGCTCTAATAATGAATTCACTGCATTATTACTAGCCATATTCCACAGAAATTCAGAAAGTTTGTAAAGACTGAGTTATCAAAGGCATTTTGGGGCAACTAACCAATAAATATTTATCTAAAAAGTTGCTAATCCAGCAATTGATTTTTTTTTGGTGCTAGAACATGCAGCAGACACATAGGATTATACTTTTTCAAGTGCAGTACCCAAAGAGGAAAGAGGTGCTTTCAAGACTCATGCACCACTCCAAATACAGTCCCTCAAACAGGAATGCTTCTCCACAATCTTGCACAAGGCCTTAGGGCAGTTCATGGTGATTTCTAAGCTGTATTGTTGATACATCTCCTAGGCATGGCTGAGTGGCATATATATTACTCAAGTGCTAACTGATAGCAAATGTGGATCTTGAAGGTTGTCCAAAGGATATCCCCTAGGAATAAGTAAGAAGTCCTATGGATGATTTTTAGGCACATCTCTGGGTCATCAATATGTTTGGGCAAAGGGAATTCTCCAGGACAACATTCAAAAGGAAAACTTTTTCACCAGCAGAATTACATCTCAACTTTTTCTTGAAATTTATTCGAGGGATGTTAAAGTCTCATATATGACCTATAGATCTATCTCAAAGTCAATTAAACAGGTGGGACATCCCAAGGATGATCCTCCCAGAGACAAGAAAGAATTCCCATAAATGACTTTCAGGGACATCATGGTTCTGGGGCATGGATATTTACGAGTGAAGCAATATTCAATGGATAACTGCCTCTCATTTAAAGGGATCCAATTAGGATATTTCAAGACTCAATGTTGCCTTAGGGACCTTAAGGGTATTGAGAAGATATTGATGGAAGATGTCTTTCAGATGTCTCAGTGGTACATGGATAAGCAGATGTTCACCAGAAAGCAAGTGGGTTGCTTGATGGTCTATGGCATACCTTGCCTTGAATTTAAACTTCCCAGATTTAGGCTAAGAACCAAAACCATTCAGCCTCTGAACCCTGTCCTTCCAATCACATCCAATCCAATCACTCAATTGAGACAGATGACTGAAGCCAACTTTTTTTTTTAAACACTTTTTTTAACAAACCCATAGATTCTCTCATGAGGCATTTGTGGAGCACAGGATATATCCAGACATTGTTAAACAATATCAATACAGAATGTAAGGCTGGCTGCAACCACCATGACAAGATGCAAGATTTATTTACAGTGTTTTTTACTTGAGTTAGACAAGTTTTCACTTGACTCAGACACATGTGGATGGGATGTTCCTCATGCACGAGTGTCAAAGTCAAGTGAAAAAGTGTCTAACTGAAGTGAAAAACACTGTAGAACCTATAAATCAAGGGTGTCAAAAGTTTAAACGTTGTGGGCCCCATTGGAAGTAAAAGGAATAGTGTGGGCCTGAGAGCCAAATACATCTTTAATTATAAAAAAAATAAAAGGGGTAACCAGAGTACAGTCCCACATGCATTTTACTTTGATTGAATGTGTTATGTGATGGGAAAGAACTGACCTTCAGGCAGTACTTTGGACACCCTTTCTATGAATGTTCTTGCACAGAAAAAACTTGAAAGAGTGAGTGGAAGGAAAATAAAAGTGACTGAAAGAGTTATATTCAGCAATTAATTGAACACCATCATTCTCAGATCTTTCAATCATGCTATTTGATTATGAGTGATTCAGTAAATATCACTATTTTTGTGGGGGGAAATGCTTGCAAATGGCCTTCACAAGTTTATATGGAAAAAATATGCTTGTGAGCAAACAAAATGGAAGAATTTTAGGCCTAGCAATGAAAACGATAATCAAAAGTAAAAAGGGGCTGAGAATGAGAACATTAAAAATGAGAAGTAGTAAAAGTAGCAGATTTTATGATTATAAAGTGAGATAAGTATTCAGCATTTGGTGCAGTAATTTGGGTTACAATCACAAACTTACATTTATGTCCCACCCTCTCTCCTTACTGTGGACATGTGACTTTCACAGATGGGCATTAATGTTCCTACTTTATCAAACTTTTGTAAGCAATAGTAACTTCATTGCAGAGCTTGAAATGGGACTCGACATACTTGGTTCTTTTCATCATTGCGGAAGACTGCTTTTTGATAATCAGCAACAACCTCCACAGCAAAGCCCACAACCCATTGGGTCCAACCAAGGTATTCAATCCATAAAATGTCTGGTTGAAGATCCCTCTGGCTCTTCTGGTTTACAAGCAGAGTAGGAATCAGAGCCACAGCTACCCAGACACCTGAAAAATTGGAAGTGTAATGTCTCTTTAGTTTTCTTCTAAGGTATCAACCATTAGATATGCTAATCCTATACAGTGTTTTGACCTTTTAACATATTCTGTGGAAATTGATAACATACACTATGTAGTCAAATCTAAAGGCCCACACATAAACATACTGTAAATTGCCATCGTCTCATCTGTTAATTTAATGTTGGTCCCCCCTACCCCCACAGCAGGAGCTCATTGCCTAGAAGTCAATGAACTCCTGCTGTAATGCATAGTCCTGTTAACTGATGCTAAACACCCTGGACATGCTACATATACCTACTGCCCAGCAGTCACAAGGTTACTGAGTCCCACTGTGATATTCCACCATGCTGGCATCATTTGTTGGGGTGGGTCTTCATTTTTAGCATTATAGTATTTACTGATGCTGAAGACAGAAGCAGAATGAAAATCCAATAAAGTTCAATACCCATCAAGGACACAACTAAAAAAGGCATTAATAATAATCAAAACAAGACCATAACATTCATACTGAGTTCAACTTCCACATGGGGTTTTAGATTCATGGGTGCTACCTCTGAAGCTCAAATGAGACTTATTCTCTCTTTTCAAAATTTCATCAGTCACTTTCTGTCCATTGCTAGTGGTCGTCCCCTTCAATGTGTTCCCTATCTTGCCATTTGGTGTGTTGAGTTTTGTCCTTTGCTCAACCTGCATTCTCCAAAACAACCTGTTCAATTTTATTTCAAGTGGATGACAGGAGAGCCCATTTTAGAGCCAGAGAGTTTCTGCATTTCGAAAGTTGGGGTCCACTTCAAAAATGAAACTGAACTAGTTCCTTGTAGTCAGAATCTGGATAATCACAAGGTAGTTCTCAGTTGGGGAGATGTCCATACAAATGTGACATCAGTATGATAGTATGATGGTGGGCAATGTGCCATAAGAATGGAGACTATTATATTGAAAAAACTTGGGATTGAAAAAAGGCCAATGGATGATTCCTACATAATCCATTATTCCAAAGTTGTAATACAGGACACTTACCCAATGGAATTGTGAAGAAGGGGATATAGCATATCCTTCTTGAAAAAACATTCAAAATTCAGAATTCAGAACAAATGATCCTACTCACAAATATAATGATTCCTTGCTTTTTGCTTGAGTGGCTGAATGAGGAGCAGTCAATTAAGAACTTCCAAGATACTGTATTCAACATCTGAGACATGAGTGCTTGTTCAGCCCATATAATCCCCTTCTAATTACCAAAACTTCTCCCATCATTTTCTCATACAAAAGCACCACTTCCTCATCCTTTCCTTGAGAAGGCCCAATAGGATAGCTACATAGCTACATTCATCTCTTTGACACCATGAAATCTGATGCTCCAAATGGATTTGGGCACATGCATTTGAGACACCTTAAACTTGTTCATGGAAGCAAGAAGAAAAAAGTCACATGGACTAAGTCCTGGATAACATGGAGGATGCAAAAATCCATGATTCAATAAGGATGACAGTATGCTGCTTGCGGTGGAGTGCTGTATGGTCCTGAGGCATCATGAATCTGGATTCCAGAAGTTCTGGTTGCTTCTTACAGATTGCAGGCCACAGATTTTGTGAACCATCCATGCATGTATCCAGTCACTGTCTTATCAAGTGTTATACTATAATCTAGCAAGATCTCCTTGTGAGGAGAAATAGTGATGTGCATCACTTTCACCTACCCTTGTCCATTAAACAGCTTTTTTTGGCCTTGGCAATTCTGGGCCATGTCAATTTGTGATTGAGAGAAGTCTCAGTCAGACCGCAACTGAGAAGTTCTAATCAATAACTTTGACATCTTTTTTTTTTCTTGACACAAGACAGTGTAAGAATTGATTTTAAAGGTTCAGTCTGCAAGAGTCAAGTTACAATGGTCATGCAGCAATGCCTCTGATCTAGTGTACACATCTACACATGGAACTCACTTTGTAATTTGCTTCACTTTTTTCCCCATCATGATGATTTCACAAGCAATACAATGATAAATCCCCACTTTCTATGCAACCTTGTCAACTGTTACTAACTGGACTTCTTCAATTAGTTGATGGACGAATCTACTATTTTATGCAAGGGAAAATGTCAGAGCTCCAAGGCACAGATTGATGGAAACACGGACATTACTGTCTTTAAAGTTAACAATGCAGGTTCATTCAGCACAAAGGTTCAAGGTCTTTGAGCACTTACTGCAAAATAGCATGGGTATCTAGCATAGGCTTCTCCAAAGAAACAAAAATATTTAATCATAAGTCTGATGTCATACTGGGAAAATGCTCGCTAGCACAAATTTGTAAAATCATTCATAACATCAAATAACAAAACAAAACATAACATCACATAAATCTGAGAAGTCACAATTGAGAAACTTCACAATTACTGGCACAACTTATGCCAATATGGCTCATCAAAGAAGCAATAATAGCACTTCCTTTTGAACATCTCTCAAATCAAACAAATGCAAGGTAGAAGTTATTCATCAACTCACATAATTCTTTACTTTGATTAGCATATTGCAAATTTGATAAGAAATGTTGTCTTTGAGATCATGCAGAAATTACATTATGAATAATTTAACAATAGCAACCACTTAAAAAAAAAACCAGGGTATATTTAAAAAAATAAAATCTACCTTGTGCCATCCATACAGCAAGAAATGCAGCAGGGTTTCCTCGAATCTGGTTGAATCTTCTGTCCTTCCCAGACTTCAATATTCGTGTAAAGAGATACAAACCCAACCGCAATGCCCATATCACAACCAAGCTGGTTTGAATGGACTGTTTTGGATGCTTGATGCTGTTCTCATAACTCAGGTAGCTCAGCAGGAGAAATGTACTGGCTCCTATTACAAGAGAAAGTATACAAATCAAATTTTGTTCTGCCACTCCAGCTATTAGATAAAAATTTAAAATAGGATTCTACTTTTGGAATGCAAAAGAGGCTTTCACAAGGAGAATGACATGCAGAGTACATTAACACTTTAAGTACTGTGACCACATTGACAAAGTCTGCTGTAGATGATTTAACAGACTGCACCAGTGCATGTATGATTGTTCTAAGACAAGTCAATGAGCTTACATAACTTACATCCTACAAAGTTCTACAAATTGTTGCCTACAAAAGTCCATTTTCAGCAAAATAACTCCCAGAGGCACAGCTTACTGTATTTACTGCAGTAATTAAAAGGTTAACAAATGGTTTCATAGCATTTTTTTCAATATATCCGCCTTTGGACACATGATACAAAGATGCAGCCACATAGATTGCATACATTTTTGGCATCCTTTTGACTTCATCTAAGAGGTGGGAAGAGATTTTCACAATAAATGTAGTCACATTAATTCAAAGAAAATTTTTCACACATCACAAGTGCTGATCATGCTCAAAGAGTAAATATGAGCAGAAGATGACAAGCAAAAACTGATGGACCAGGCTATAATGTCTCTTCCATACAAGTATGAGGGGCATACTGAAGGAGATGAAATGCAGCAGGGTTTCCTCGAATCTGGTTGAATCTTCTGTCCTTCCCAGACTTCAATATTCGTGTAAAGAGATACAAACCCAACCGCAATGCCCATATCACAACCAAGCTGGTTTGAATGGACTGCTTTGGATGCTTGATGCTGTTCTCATAACTCAGGTAGCTCAGCAGGAGAAATGTACTGGCTCCTATTACAAGAGAAAGTATACAAATCAAATTTTGTTCTGCCACTCCAGCTATTAGATAAAAATTAAAAAGAGGATTCTACTTTTGGAATGCAAAAGAGGCGAGAATGACATGCAGAGTACATTAACACTTTAAGTACTGTGACCACATAGACAAAGTCTGCTGTAGATGATTTAACAGACTGCACCAGTGCATGTATGATTGATCTAAGACAAGTCAATGAGCTTACATAACTTACATCTTACAAAGTTCTACAAATTGTTGCCTACAAAAGTCCACTTTCAGCAAAATAACTTCCAGAGGCACAGCTTACTGTATTTACTGCAGTAATTAAAAGGTTAACAAATGGTTTCATAGCATTTTTTTCAATATATCCTCCTATGGACACATGATACAAAGATGCAGCCACATAGATTGCATACATTTTTGGCATCCTTTTGACTTCATCTAAGAGGTGGGAAGAGATTTTCACAATAAATGCAGTCACATTAATTCAAATAAATAAAAAGTGTGTAGTGTTCACGACTAGTACGAGTTTCTCATTTATACTCGTCTTCTACTGTTCGTTTTTGACTACCTGGTCCGATATTACAGAGAAGGTATGTTCATACTCCCCGTATGACTTCCTCTTGCTCCAAACGATCATTTTACCCTTACTAATGTACATCCGTTGACGTTGAAAGACACTACGTTAAATTGGAAATCACGAATAAAACCTATAACGACGACTAACTCTAATTTGGGAAGGTGACCATAGGGGTGTAAATTCTTGGACTGACCCACCCCTAAACATGTTCTGAAAAATAGCACGCACAAAAGAAACTGTATTGTGGGTTATTGTAACCCAGTAAGCATAAATGTTGTACAAATGCCAATAAACAATCTGAGTGAAAACTGATGCATACTATACATCATGAAAAGCAAATATGTTTCTCTTTTAATTAAAAGTTTTCAAATCTTTTAAGAACATTCTCCAGTACAGGATAAACTTTAACTCAACTTAATTAAGTTTCCAAATTTTCCCTCAAACCAGATGAATTCTTGTGGAATAGTAAGATAAAAACATATTCCACAAAGGTGGTCCTTCAACTGGCCAAACAGATAATAGTTGGAGGGAACTATGTCTGGGCTATATTATAGGTGCCTGAGAACAGTCCACTGAAAATTGGCAAGAACTTGTGAAAAAAATTATGACATATACCCGTCCGTAACAGTATTTCTTCTGTCTGTAGTTACAGTACAGGACAAACCGTACTCTTTGTGATTGAATACTAATTAACGTTAATGAGTCCTTATGTGATACCTTCTTGAGACCTGAATTATGGGATATTGATGTGAGTCTTCTTTATAACATTGCCTGCTCACATATGGCTGTCAAAACAATGCAATTTTTTCCCATTTTCATGGGACTGCTGTCAGGCACCCATCATATAGCCTGGACATAGCCCTCTCCAACTATCATCCATTGGCCAGTTGAGGGTCCATCTTTGTGGAATACACTTTATCAATTGTGAAAATCCTAAAAAATGCATCAAGAAAATGGTTACAAGAAGGAGATAGAAGCTAATACAGGAGGATTCCAACTATCATCCATTGGCCAGTTGAGGGTCCATCTTTGTGGAATACACTTTATCAATTGTGAAAATCCTAAAAAATGCATCAAGAAAATGGTTACAAGAAGGAGATAGAAGCTAATACAGGAGGAGTATGCAATCATGGCCTTCCAGATGACAGAAGTGCATCAATTCAGATGGTGATTATTTCAAGGGCTAAGGAGAGTGTGATGTTTTTACTGATTTTGGTAGCAATAACAGCAATGGTCAAGTTTTCATCAAATGTTGGTGGAAGTTTTCTGGACACCCCCTCGTAATATTTCTGTACTTGATGTCTTATTTTCTGCAGCTATATGTTGAAGAAGAGTAAATTGAGTCAGCAGTTCATGGGCAATAGAACTACCTTTACTTCCACCAGTCTGTGTTTCATTGATTCAAAGAATGTGTTTTTTTCCCTTCCAAAAGGCAAGATGAACTCAGTTCTGATGGAGTGCACCTACTCAGACAGTTGGATTCTTTTATTTTCATGATTAAAGCCAAAGTTGCCTCAGTAGGGCCAATAACAGGAGCAGCCAAGTCCCTTGGTACCATTGTAGTAATTTAAATGATTTATTTATTCATCCTATTTTCACACAAACTTCAGTACCAGACTATCTAGAGATCTATTACTTCTCATCAGTGGCATAATGAGGGAAGGTGGAGAAGGAGGCTTCAGCTCCCCCCCCTCCCCCAACTCTAATGGTTATGCATTTGCCACTCCCCTACCCCTTCAAGGGAAAGTTATGGAAATTATAGCCCCTCCTTTGGTGGAGTCTTGACTACACCACTGCTTCTCATGAGGTCATACATACTATTGCATGGTCTGTAAATGAGCATATATAAATAAAATGTCAATAATGTTGAAACTAGGTGGATGAGGAGTCTGGACCTTGCACCATCTACTTTGAGAATTTAAAGTGGGCTTACATCCATCTGTATGGAGTTGAAATGGGGTCAGTATCATTTCAATGTATATTTTGAGTTGGTTTGGCTAGATGTTAAACATTTGTTCCAGGGTTCAAGAGAAATAATCTATTACCCTTCTAAATTAAATGCAGACCTTTTTAAAGTCAGAATCTTTAGTTGACAGTTCCAATCAAAGCAACACTCCACTTTTGTTGTCAAAAAACTGAAAATAGGGATATAGTAATTTAAGATGCTCAACTTCAAGATTTAAGATAGTGATATCAAGAGGCGATTTCTCCCATTTCGATATCACATGTCGAGGTCAAGCGTTCCTTAATTTTAGGGTAGGCCTAACCCTCTTAAAGCTATATATTTTCAAGCCCGCCTGAAGGAAAGAGTGGGAATGTGATCCCCATTCGTCTCATCCGGATGGCATTCTATTTTTTCTTACCATGTTTTCTTATGGAATCTTTCTCATTTAAAAAGGGGCGAGACCCCTGGATATACCCCAGTTACGTCCCTGCCACCTGCAGTATGCCTACGCAGGAACAACAGTTCGTCTCCAAAGCCTAGCCTTCGCCTCCTATAGCCTAACAATCTTATTCATAGGACTATAGTAGGCTAACATGTAAGCTAACAAAATTTAGTGTTAACTGGCCTATTTCCAATGAATCCAATAGAAAAATAGGGCTAACCTACAGCAGAGAAGACAGGCCTCTGCCCAGGTAAAAATCCTAGTTCGAATTTTCCAACCATGAACTAACCTGGATCTCTTATTTCATGCTTAAGTCAAACATTTTTTCACTTTGACCTGGACACTCAGTATGGGATGTTCCTCATGTACAAGCGTCTGAGTCAAGTGGAAAAATGTCTGACTCATGAAAAACTCTTAAAAGGTCGACAAAAAGTTGAACTTAAAGATCGACACCAAGTTGACCCTAAAATTTGAACCAAGTATAAGGATTACTTACTGAAAGTTCCTACTTTCCGTTCTTTCTTGTTCTCACCTTTTAATCCATTGACAACGTTGTTGCTTTAAGTCTAGACCACCAATAACCTTAGGCACAGGTGTTAGATTAAGGTTTGGACTGACTATAACTTTAGAGTTATCGGAACATATGTCCAGATACACGTCATCCAGGTAGGGTCGGTCACTTTAAAGTTACCACAGGTCATAAGTCGTTAACCTTTCAACGAACAATAACAGTATTCTATTAAAATACGTCATTCTGGTTACAGTAATGAGTTATACTTCATTTGGAGCAATCTCCTTGTAGCAAAACTACTTTTTATGAAAAAGTAACAAAGAAACTTTGTTATTTATCTCATTTTGAGATGGTTTAGCATTCCCTAGACTTTGTCAAAGCTTTCAGACCCAAATTAGCAGAAGGGAGCAATCTTATAATTGCAATTGATTACTTTTTTTTTGCCCAAAGGAGTCAATAAATACCCTCTGGTTACTTTTGGAAATAATTTTCCAAACACCACCAATAATTGTGATTCACTACCAGGGCCACCCAGAGGTTTCTAGGGGCCTGGGGCAAAACTATACTTGGGGGCCCCCTTGAGGCCCTTTGGAGGCCTCCCTTGGGGCCTCCTGATATGCAGGGTCCAGGACAGATTGCCCCATCTGCCCCCCCCCTCTGGGCAACCCTGTTCACTACTATGCCGAGCTTCCATCCATGCCTTTGCTTGGTTTGGCTCAAGCAGTTCATGGATGTTGACCTAACTGAAAGCAATGGGGTAATTGCATACAATTGCTGTTACTTCTTTGATGACTTAATTGAACTTTATAACATCTAAGCTAAAAACCACAAGGCCTGTAAAGGAGAGCCTTATAGAACTCCACACCAAGTATCCTGCAATTACTATGATAAACCTAATTACTTTTCCCTATCTATGGTAGCCATCATTGATACCCTGTAAACCTTGTATACGATTGTTCAAAGGTACTTAGTTTAAAACAAATTAATTTTTTTTAGTATTAGAGTTCTTTATACCCCGGTCTATGTAAGAAATTTACATAGGTTCTGTGACCGAGTATATTTTTTCTTAAGTTATAAGGAGGCTAAATAGGCATTTTCTGTCAGGCAGCCACTCTGCTGCCCAGTTGCTGCTAAAGGTTAATGAATTAACATTTTTTAAATTCTTTTTTCAGATCTACAAGCCTGTGAAGCATTGAAAGAGCATGAATATCAATTAAGTATACTCATCACATAAAAATGGATGACCCTATTTTCTAAGAAAAAAAAATGAATCTCCTTGAACTTGAATGATATGAAAAATAATATTTTCAGATCTCTGCAGACCTTGAATTCACTTATCCGGCTCAAATCCCTTGAATTCTATGTAACCTATTCCCTGTTTCCCTAATTATATCCAAGGATTGTATATAATTATTTAGAGGTTAATTGTATATTTTGACTGTATCCTTAACCCATTTGCGTACCTAACCATCTCCAAGATGGCCTCAATAGAAGTGTCAGCTTGTACCTAACTATCTGCCAGGTGGGTTCATGCTGAGGTCTGTTATTATTGATAGATTGGCTTGTTAGTCAATGATATGGTTGTTAGATGGCTTGATATGCCTTCTTTCAGGTTCTAGTAATAATTTGTTTTTGCAAATTAAATGGTATTTCACAGCAACACAGTTTCACAGTTAAGGAAAAAATGGTATGCAAATAGGTTAATATTCAGTTTTCAGGAGATGCCTATTCCTGGTTGCATTCCTTTTGTATTCTATGAGGGTCACTTGGAAAGTAATGCACAATTATTTTTTTCTCACTGTATTGAAGATAATTACATGAAATTAACAAGTAATGTTCATCAGGGCTTTGCAATGAACCACCTATTATTTGACGTAGTCACCATAATGGACAATGTACTTTTCCCACCATTTTACAAGGGCATGAATTCAATCCCAATAGAATCTCTTGCCCTGGCAACAAAACCACCTTCAAATTGCATTCTTCACATCCTCATCATTCTCAAAGTGATGTCCATTTTGGTTGTCATTT